AAACCCTGTCTCGAAAAACCAAAAAAAAAAAAAATAAATAAATAAATAAATAAATAAATCTTTAGAAAGAGAGAGAGAGAGAGAGAGAGAGAGAGAGAGAAAGAAAGAAAGAAAGAAAGAAAGAAAGAAAGAAAGAAAGAAAGAAAGAAAGAAAGAAAGAAAGAAAGAAAGAGCCAGATACACCTGCCATATGACTCAGCGTGTTTGAAATGACCAGAACAGGCAGATCCAGACAGAAAGTAGACTATGGTTACCAGGGGGAATGGCCATTGCTCACTGGGGTGGCATTTCTTCATTTAGAATAGGAACATGTTAAGAGCTGAGGAGGTCACTTGGTAGTAGAACATACACCTAACACAAGTGGAGCCCAGGACTTCATTCCCACCAGAATCACAAAAATTAACTACTTAGTCAATTTTCAAAAAGGGCCCAGTGTAGTGCTGCACACCTTGAATTCCACTCAGGAGGCAGGCAGAGCTTGTGAATTTGAGACCAGCTCGGTCTACAGAGCAAGCAGCCTACATAATTGAGTAGGTCTACATGGCCGGGGCTATACAGTGAAACAAAAGGAGAAGAAGAAACAGAGTGCTGTATACACACACACCTGGGATCTCCGAGCTCATTGTCTGAAGCAGAAAGATCACGAAAAGCTGAAGACTGGCCTGGTACACAGTGAGCTCTAGGCCAGTATGGACCACATAATAGACCTGCCTTAAACAAAAGAAAAAGCCAGCCAGGGAAGGCTGCCCTTCTTTCTCTGAGTTTCAGCGGGACCTCTAGTTTCCCATTCAAGATAGAGAACCAGGCCTTTCCAAGGCTACCAATGCTGTGACATTCCTTTCCTAACATATGGGCATGTCACATCCCATGTGTCACTGGTCACAGTGATCCCAGCCCCAGGTTCCTTCACAGGCCCTCCGATTACCTGTTGAGCTGGTCTCCTTTAGCCAGGTGGGAGGTGCTCTGCCTCTTCTCCTCCTGGGCCCAGCCACAGTTTGACATAGCGTAGCGGAGAATAGCATCAGACACCGTCAAGGAGCCTCGGCCCTGCACACAGGCTTCAATCTCAGGGACTGAGAGCTGGCTTTGGAGGAAGAGGTGTAACTGACTGTCTGACAGAAGGACCACGCTCTGCAAGACCCTGGAGCAACAGAGAGCACAACACCGACCATGTGAGGAAGCAGCTGTCCCCATCCCAGCCCAGCCCGCCTTTGGCTTCACAGAGCACTGGAGATGGGGGGCACAGGAAAGCAAGCCACCACAAATGCGACCGACCGCAAGAGCAGGGCAGGGGTTTGCATCTGTCTGGCTCTGTCCTGCGGCCCTGCCTCCACAGTGGTGGCCAGTGCTAACCCAGCAAGTCCACTCACTTTTCTAGGAAATGCTGTAGGCCTTGCCGTCGCTTCTCAATGAACTCATCAGAGCTGCCAAAGAAAGTGGACTTCCCAGGAAGTTCAGGGACCGGCCTGTGGAAACATAATGTAACACTCAAAGTGAAGCATCACTCCAACCCCACCCCAAAATAATCCCCTGAAAAGAGGCCCAATCAATACAATTAGATTTTAGGAAGGGACGTACAGCGCTAACACTGGTTGATGGTATGCCCTACGGCAGGCACTTCGCATCACATTTCCACAAACATGGCATTTAATCTTCCTAAAAATCCCATGAGAAAAATACTAGTGTCCTCCTTTTAGAAAACCAGACAGGTGACATAAAATTCCCACTGTCTGCCGGGTGTGGTGGCGCACTCCCCAGCACTGGGGAGGCAGGCTAATCTCCAAGGTCAAAGCCAGCATGGTCTACAGTGTGAGTTCTAGGCCAGCCAGGGTTACACAGAGAAACCTTGTCTTTAAAAAAAAAAATTCCCATTGTCACACAACACAGGTAGTATCCAGGTCTACGATTCCAAAGCCATGCTATTATACCACTCCATCTAGTATACACACTTCCAACATCAATTGCTTTTTTCTTCAGGTGTATGAGCTTGCTTGATATGTGCCCCATGTGTCCACAGTATCCACAGAGACCAGAAGAGGGAATCAGATCCCCTGGAACTGTAATTACAGGCAGTTGTAGGCAACCTAGTGTGGATTGCCAAACCCAGGTCCTCTGTAAGAGCAACAAGGGCTTTTATTCATTTATTTATTATGTATACACTATTCTGCCTGCATGTATCCCTGCAAGCCAGAAAAAGGCACCAGATCTCAACATAGATGGTTGTGAGCCACCATATGGTTGCTGGGAATTGAACTCAGGACCTTTGGAAGAACAGCCAGTGCTCTTAACCTCTGAGCCATCTCTCCAGCCCTGCAACAAGGGTTCTTAACTCCAGTCCCTTTGGGGACTTTCTGACACATGGCCTCACTATGCTATGTAGCCATGGCTGGCCTGGACCTTGCAGTAATCCTCTCATCTCTGCTTCCTAGGTGGTAGGACTATAGGCCTGCTCCACTACACCCAGCTCTACTACCTCTGTGCTCTGCATTGGGATGGGGGAGCACGTGCATACACAATGTATGGAAGCCAGACGTTGACAGAGGATGTCTTCCTCAATTACCCTCCACTTCACTTGTTGAACTGAGTCTCTCACTGAACCCAGAGCTAATCCATTTGGCTAGACTAGCTGGCCATCAAGCCCCTAGGATTCCCCTGCCTCTGTCTCCCAGCACTGGGATTACAGGCTTCTCACATGGGTACTAAGGATCCAGCTCAGCTCCTCCTGCTTCACAACGATCATGTTACCAATCGCCATCTCCCCAGCACCCAGCTCTACATTCCTTCTTTAAGAAAGAGACTTCAAGCAGGAATGTGGGCCCTTTCCCATAAACTAAAACTGTCTATTCCACGTTGGACATGTTGCCACATGTCTATAATCGGAACTACTCAGCAAGCTAAAGCAAGAAGGTGGAGCATTCCAGGCCAGCCTGGAGCTGCACATACAGCCTCTATTTCAGGGAAAAACAACAAACAAACAAACAAACAAACAAACAAACAAACAAATAAAACAGACCACTCTAGCCCCAGAATTTGCCATAAACGAAGTGAGTTATCGCATATTACTGTTAAACATCCTTAGCTTCTGTTATAAGGCACAGAGAACACGTTATAAAATAACAAGGAGCCAGGGCTGAAGACATAACTCTGTGGTAGAGTGATTGCCAACCACGCACAAAGTTCTGAGTTCAATCCCTAGCACACAAGAAAAGGAAAGAAATAGACACAGACACTCTCAGAGAGAGAACAACAGACAGAAGCAGACGGGCAGACAGACACCCCAAAGCAGCCTAGAGGAGAGGGACAAAGGGAGTCAACTGGCATGGCCCATGGCGGTAACCCCATCAGTCCCACGTGGTAACTAACTGGGCAGACCCTCCACCAGTGATCACCCTGAAGTAAATGAAGCTCTGGAGAGAGAGGCAAGAGAATCAACAGTTGCAGGCCAACCTGTACTACAGAAGACCATGTCCCAAAAAAAAAAAAAAAAAAAAAAATGTATCTAGGTGTGGTGATCTATGCCTATAATCCCAGCGCTCCAGATGTTGCCACATGAAGAGTGCAAGTTCAAGGGCAACTTGGACTACATAGTGAGACCCTGCCTGAGAAAAGGAAGGAAGTCTCTGGAGTTTACAGGGAAGATAGCTTACAACATGCCAGGCACTAAAGAAGCTGGGAGCTGTTTTAAACCGTGTTTAAGTCAGTGAAATATATATGTGCACATACACACTTTTTCCCCTGTTCATACAACTTTGCTAGTTCAAAAACTAAAAAGGAGAATGTTGGTTTTCTTCACTGACTTGAACACCTGACTCAAAGCCTTTCCCCGGTGCCTGGCGTGTTCGAGGCCCTTTTCTCTGGACACTCCAGCTCCCATGTAGCCCGAGTCTCCTCAGGCCTGAGAGGGCGCCGAGGGCAAACTCACACCAAGCCCGCATTCCTCTGCAGCTGTCTCCTCAGCCACACAAACTCACGGTAGCGGCGCCGCACACACGAGGTCTTGGCAGTAAAGGCCTTGCTGTTCGTCTACAAGAGGAGGTTGGTAAAGAGGGTTAAATGGAAAGGACTAAGGCCCCTGTGACTTTGCCACCATCACTCTCATTAAGGGGCCAAATGATCAGGCCACTGGTCCCCAGACCAGGGTGCCACCGGACAGGCTGAGAGCAATTCACAATCACACCTTGTCTTTCCTTCACCATGCTCTTTTTCTCTCAATCTTCTGTCTCAAAGGGATGTTGGCAACACCCACAAATCATTTCCACTTCAGCACAGCCCATAGCCCTGGAGTTGACCCCATTACAGAAGCTTGACTCACATGAAGGAATATCTTATAGTCCACGTAAGAATTCCAGGAACCCTCATTCTGCACCCGGGGGTCCTGCACACGCACCGTGATCACCTCCTGCAGGTATAAAAAAAAAGCTCCTTCAGCTTCAGCTCACCACACAGAAAGAAAGTGGTTTGGTTCAGACTTTGGAGCCCTGGCTGGCCTAGAACTCACTATGTAGACTTATCGCTTGAACACGTGGCATTTTTCACAGATCTGCCTAAGTGTTGAGATCATAAGACGCCACACCTAGCTAGCAAGGCAGCTCTGACCACACAATAGTTACCAAAGTTTCTAACTCAATACCAACTTCCAGTCGTTGTTCTAGTCAATTCAACAAGTGTTTGCTGACATGGTGTGTGCCAGGCACTGTACTAAGATTGAGCATAAACAAGAAGCAAAGCTCCCTGTTCTCCAGGAGACCACAGGCCATGCCAACTAGTACAGGCCTATGAGCCTAACGACTTGGGAGGCTGAGGCAGGAGAGTCAAGAGTTCCAGGCCTTATCTGAGGAACTTAGTGAGACTCCATATAAAAAAATAAAGACATCAAAGAAAAGAAAAAGGCTGGGCATTGGTACACACCTTTAATCCGAGCACTTGGGGGCAGAGGCAGGCAGATCTCTGTGAGCTCAAGGTCAGTCTGGCCCACAGAGGGAGTTCCAGGACAGGTAGGGTTACACAGAGAAATCCTGTCTCCAAAAACAAAAATAAGTAAATAAAGAACTTTGGACAGTGGCTCCCTCCTGTAATCCCAACACTCAGGAAGAAGCAGGAAGACTGCCATCAAGTTGAAGGTCAGCTAGTTGAAGTTCTAGGCCAAACAGGACTATCCAGTGAGACCCTGTCTCACTACATAAAGATAAAAAGAGAGCTAGGGATACACGGCTCAACAGTAGAGCTGAGCACTCACAAGCCCCTGAGTTTAATCTGCACAGCGAAAGAGTAGACAAACAAGAACAAAGTATAATGATAAATATATATGGAAATGTCCTAATGAGCTCTATTTGTTAGATAAATAAATATGTAATTTTTTGTTGTTGTTTTTGTTTTTTTGAGACAGGGTTTCTCTGCATAGCTTTGCGCCTTTCCTGGAACTCACTTTGTAGACCAGGTTGGTCTGGAACTCACAGAGATCCGCCTGGCTCTGCCTCCCGAGTGCTGGTAATAAAGGCGTGCACCACCACCGCCTGGCCTAAAAATGTAATTTTAAAAAGCTTACATTCTAGTACATTCCAGCCAATGTGAAAGTTAGTGGAAATGGAAGCTCACTTCTCAGCATGTACACTTGCTGCTGATTTCCTTCTCTTGGCTTTATTTTGAGCCCATCAGACACACCAAGAGCACATTAGGGGAAACAGCACAGACGATGATCTGCATCTGTGTCCCCTCCTCCTAAAGGCCCCCAACTCTGGCCACCTGGAGCCCACTCTTACCTCCAGCTCTTGGTTCTCCAACATCCTACACCAAAAGCCCATGGGAAGAAAACATCTGGGGAGGAACAGAGGACAGGAGCAAGCACAGTTAGCAGGTATGTCCTTACCAGGCTTTGTCAGGGCAAAACCCCAAAAGTTCTTAATAGACAGCCCTTGGGGAAACCCAGGTCAGCTCCCCTCTCCCTAATTATGTTGTGTAAAACTTTAAAGAGGAAGGAAAAAACACCCACACTAGTTAGTAGCAAGTTAAAAGCCCTGGGGAATTTGTCTCCATTCTCAGACTACCCCTGGGACCCTCTACAAGGCCACCTCAACCTAGAGCTTCTTGTGTGTGGAGAGTGTGTTGTGGGTGGCCAGAAAGGCAGGTAGGTGGGTTCCCTTGTAAAACTTCTGCCTGAGGACTGTGGCTTAGGAGCCTTGTGGAGCACGGCTTTGAAAAGGAGCCTAACAGCACCCCCTCCTGGTTGTTTAGAGACAACCCAGTCCCTACACATAGCAATGCTCCAGCAATCTAACCAAAGTTACCTCTAGACAGGTGAGTCATTGAGCTGGAGTGCTCCTGGGAGCACCCAACTGAATGGTCCAGTTACAGTTACCACCTTCCCTTATCAGCTCTCTAAACTGGAGCCAACCATTGTAATCATTTCCAATCTTGACATGCCATCCGGTTTGTACCTCTGCCCAAGCACCCCACAGCTACGCAGGTCAACTCAGGATGCATTCCGCTCCTTTGTAAAGATTCATTAAAGCCTAAGCCACTGATTTCCCCCAGTGTGGTAGTTTATGTGTACAGCGACATCGCCCACTCCAACAAGGGGACCATGAAGGCTGTAGCACAGGGTTACTGGATTCCAAAGGGGCCCATGATGTCACCTTCTGTTAAAATACAGCACTAATCTTCTTACTCCTAGAACCACTCCAACAGCATCCACCCTGGCTGCCGCCTCCACCCCCTTCCTCTCTCTTAAGAGCAGAACAATAAGGTTTAATTTCCCTTTCCAATTTACCTTGAAATGAAAACTGACTTCAGCCAATATGTACTGCCAACAAATGATCCGGGCCGGCTCCTGGGAAAACAAGCCTATCTAAGCTCTCCCTCCCTCCCCCCATGCCCATTCACACACCCACTCATTTTTACAGTCCCACAATTAATTTTAAACACATTCTCTTATTAGTTCTGCCTTACCATTAGAAGAGCGCATAATGAGCTTCCGTCTATTTTATGTTTTGCTAACACAGGGCTAATGTTTCAAAAGAAGGGGAACTCATTTACCGCATGAAATTAGCAGAGCAAACAGCTTTTGCAATTCTTTCCAATATCCCAGAAGGTCTCACTTCTACAGACAGACATTGCACGCAGGGACAAAGCTACATGGCAGATGACAAAATTGAGCTACACTGTGGCGCAAACCCAAGGTTCTGTGATTTCAACACCATCATAAACAGCATTCTTGCTGACAATATGATTTTTCATCCGCAGCAGTCACCACCTCCAACAGGCCCTGAACTGAAATGCAGGGAGTTCAAATTCCCCAATAACCCAGCTTAACAACAGTCCAGACCGAAACAAAGGTCTGTGACCAAAAACCAGCAGACAGACTTGCTGTGAATAATTAACCTCCTGGGGTTTCCCACCCCTTTCTCTTTTTAGGCATTTGCCGATCTGCCAGCATACAAGCAGAGAGTTAACTATTCTGAAGTGTCTTTTTGTAGTACAATAGGAAAGATGACAAGAAAAAGAGTTATCTCCACTAACGGGAGTTCATATCACTCTTCCTGAAAAGGTCTGTGAAATTCAAGACTAGTTCAATAACTAGTCATCATACCTTTGGTCTCAAAGAAGAATTTGAAAGGGGCCCCGCAGCACCCCCATGTGGAAGTTTTTCTCCTTTAGTGTGGAGCTACCGTCACATTGAAACAACCAAAAACTGGCTTTTAAAAATTCCAAGTATGCTTAAACCTAAGTTTAAAGGGCACTGAGGAGGTTCTGATTGTAAATTTCCTTAAAATAATGAAACTACAAAAACCTAGGCTCCATTTCTTTTTGTTTGTTTGGTTTTTCGAGACAGAGTTTCTCTGTTTAACAGCTCTGGCTATCCTGGAACTCACTTTGTAATAGACCAGGCTGGTTGCTAACTCACAGAGATCTGCCTCTGCCTCTGGAGTGCTGGCATTAAAGGTGTGTGCCACCATCACCTGGTAAAACCTAGACTCCATTTCTAACCACCACTATTCTCCATCAATTTCCTTCCCAAAGACACCACTCTTTGGAAGAAAACGAAGTTCATCCATTCCTGGAGAAGCAGCAAGCTATCTTAACTTCAGCTCTACGACCTAGAGATGGATCTGTGTGCATCCACTAAGGACGGATAAAGTCAAGTAACCTCCAAAGGTTAGGTGACTTACGCAATGCTAACTACATTTCCAGGCCCTTTCCATCATATCTGAAGTGCTGTTTGCTTCCCTCAGCAGTACCGGCACCAACAGTCCTGGGGAAGAACCAGATCGTTTGACGTGCACAAAGTTGATGTATTGTCAAGCTCACAACTGCTAATTCAAGGCCTCCCCCTCAATTTTTTCTGCCACTTAAACTACTTCAAGAGGCACGCTAAAAACAAACCAGGCTGCAAAAGGGTTGCGCCAAGGAGTCTCTCGTCTTTTCTTACTCATTCTTGAGCCTTTGATGTCAACAGAGAGCAACTCAAAAACCTCGCCTTCCTAAATGCCCACGGGGGTTAGTTAAAGGCGGTTCTCCGGCCTGACACACTCCACCCCGTCCATCAGGCAGCTGTTCGACCTTTCAGTCCACAGCCCACTCATCCCACCTGGAAATAACAGGGCGACCATAATTCCCAGTGTCCGCGAAAAATACCTGCCATTTCCTCCCACTCCCGGCCACTTGGATAGCTATCCCCAAACTCCGACTCTGGACGCTCCCTTCCATTCTTATCAACCCAGATGGAAAACAGCCACATACATGCTCCTTCTCCTTTCCCGGTTAAACCTGGGACGAAAGTCACCTTCTACTGTCAAGGTAAACGGAGGAGCCAGGCTTCCTCCTTTCTGGTCGGGTCCCCAGCAAGCCTCACTTTCCACCCCGGGCAGGAAGACAACCCCTTCCTTCCCTGACATGTCAAGCCAGGCCATCACTCCAACGCCACCACTGCTCCCCCAAGCCGGCGTCCCATCCCCCCCCGCCCCAAGCAGCACCCACGAGCCGCGGCCCCGCCCACGCCCCCTCACCTGAGAGCGGCGGCAGCGGCGGCTCTCGACAGCGACACCACCAGCCCCGCACCATAGAGCCCGAGTCCCGGCTTCTCCTTCCGGGTGAGTCGCCGGCGCCCCGGTGCACGACGGGAGGCGGCTCCCGACGGACCAATCCTGAGTGTCCGGGACGCCCCCACCCCTGCAGACCGGGGTTCTCAGTGGCGACCGCGGGTCAGCGGAGGCTCTCCGCCCCGCCCAGACTGGAGCCGCCATCCGGATCTTTCCGGAAGTCGCTAGGGGCGCGGGGAGGTGGAGCGCGCGAACTGAAAGCCCTCGGCGTCCACGCCAGAGTTTTGTCCCGCCCACCGCCGTCAGGCGCGCCAATCAGCGCTCAGGGAGCGTCTCGGCAGCCCAGGTGTCTGTAGGGTGTTACGGGGTTGTCCGTGGTGTCGGGAGGTTCCACACTTTCCTGCAGTCTTACTAAGATCTCCAGAGGGTCCCGCTTTGAACCTCGGAGGTTGCAGTTCCCCGGCTGAAATGTCACGGGCACTGCCAGTTCGATTTGTAAAAGCCGCGCGGGTCATCCCGGCAAAAACCGAACGAGATGGCTCACAACTCACTGTGACTCCCCGAGACAAGCCCACAACAGGATCACCTAGTTAGTAAGCAAGAAAAAGCTGGTGACAATGCTAACCGTGGTGACATTAAATTTCCTCTTACGGCAATGAAGGGGCTCCCGCCTGGAATCCTAACACTTGGAAGAGTAAAGCTACAGAGTGAGTTCCAGGCGACCCGGGCTACAGAACTCAATCTCAAAACACAGTTTAAAAAACCCTCTTATAGCCGGTCGACGGTGGCACACGCTTTTAATCCCAGCACTCGGGAGGCAGAGCCTGGCAGATCTCTATGAGTTCGAGGCCAGCCTGGTCTACAGAGGGAGTTCCAGGACAGGCACCAAAACAACACAGAGAAACCCTGCCTCGAAAAATTAAAAAATAAAAATTAAAAAATTAAAAAAAAAAAAAAGGAAACAAAAACCCTCTTGATCTGTTAAAAAGATAATTTTACACCTGTAATCCCAGGACTTGGAAGTAGAGGCGGGAATTGAAGGCCATTGCCAACTACATAGTGAGTTTCAGCTTATCCCCGGCCACTTAAAACCCTGTCGCAAAAACAACTGAACGGGAGAAGGAGGAATGACTGAGAGCTTAAGAGTGTTTGTTCCTCTTCCAGAAGATAAATTCAGCACCCACATCAGGCAGCTCACAAAGTGCTGTAACTCCAATTCCTGTGGATCTGAGGCATACGTACATACACACCAAAAATAAATGTTTGTTTTTATTTTGTGTATGAGTGTTTTGTCTGTAAGTATGGATGCCCGTTTGGAACATGCCTACATGGAACACTCAGAGGTCAAATGAGGGCCTCAGATCTCCTGGCACTGGAGTTACAAATGGTTGGAGCCACTCTGGAGGTCTGGGAACTGAACCCTGGTCCTATGCAAGAGCAGAATGTGCTCTTAACCTCTGAGTCATTTCTTGAGTCCCAAATCCCTGCCCCTACCTGGGTCCTCTTTCATGCTCTGTCTTTTGGTATATGAAGAAAACCTAGCCCAGCACAAACATATCTTTTTAGCCCTCTCCAAAAATCGTGAATCCTCCTTTGCTATAACAAAACATCAAATAGTACTCTCCCTCTCCCTTTCCATCTCTGGTTCTCCTTTCATTTTAATATAAAGTCTTGTTACCTAGTCTGCGCTGGCCCAGAACTATGTAGACCAAGATTACCTCAAATGCAAAATGTACAATCCTCCTCCTCTGTCACCCAAATATTGGGATTACAGGTGTGCACCATCATGGCCAGTTAACTGGTGGTGGTTTTTTTTTTTCAAGATTTATTTTTACTTATGTGTATGTATATGAAGCTACATGCATTTATATGTACTACCTGTGTGTGCAGGTGCCCACAGAAGCCAGAAGAGGGCATCAGATCCCCTGGAGTTCCAGAAGGTTGTGACCCACCCAAATGTGTGTTCTGGGAACCGAACCCAGATCCTCTGAAGCAAATGTTCTTAACACTGAACCATCTGTCCAATCCCATAAAAAAAAATTTAATCATGTTAATATCACCACTGATGTCATCAGGAAACTTTCAGGAAGTTGTCAGATTCACTTTGGTAGACACCAAATTTCCAAAGGTAAAATTTTTGCTTGAAAGACAATTTCTCATTGGCAGTAATACTGTTTTCCTTTACAGAGCCAACTCTGCATTCAAATATCTGATTAACCAGCTTTTTTCCCTTGTCCTTTTTTTTGGGGGGGGGGCGCTAAGGTTTTACTACATAGCTCAGGTATCCCTGTAATTCATAATTCTTCTGCCTCCCAAATGCTGGCACCTTCCTTGAAAATTTCAATTGTTGATGCTGGGGCCAATCCTTATACAGTAAATACTGAGAAATAACAACCACAGCCCCAAACAATCCAAACTCCAAAACATACTGAGCTGCTGGGGAGATGACTCCCCAGTTAAGAGCACTGACTGCTCTTCCAGAGGACCCAGGCTCAATTCCCAGTGCCCACATGGCAGCTAACAACTATTTATAACTCCAAGATCTGACACCCTCACACAGACATACATACAGGCAAAACACCAATGCACATAAACTAAAAAGCAATAAATTATTGAGCACCAACACAGTGCTACAGTGGAAGATTTCACACTTAAAACACAGACATGTTGGCCGGGCGTTGGTGGTGCACGCCTTTAATCCCAG